TTTTTACATTTGCCGTGTATGCTAATTAAGCCTGAAATAAAAATCAATAATATTTAAGCCATAAATCACCGGAACGCGTAAAAACCTTCTCCAGAGGTGTAATTATTTTATTTATTGGAGTTTCGATTCAGCATTGAATGTGCCTCGTTTCAAGTACGTTCGACCAACAACTGAAAAAATTTTCCCAGCCGGGTCAGAGTTGTCATTTTCTTGGCGTCGTATCTTGTCACTTGTTGAATTTTGAGTCAGTTGGATTGTCCTGAACTGAATTTGTTTTTAGTGTGAAGAATTTGGTGATGTCTTTAACCTGATATTAATGATGCAGAGGACCTTTGAAAGCAGTGAGCCGTATAAGTTGCTAATTCTGAGTCGTGGCTGTTGGTGGAGTTTCTACCAAAAGTGCAATTTATTAGACATTTAGCATTTACGAAATGAACAAAAGAATTATGACTGCTCTTTACATAACCTTTGTTTGGAGAGTAGCATTTGGAGTCATTAGTAGCCTTGGTCATGAAAATTTTTGTCCAACTATCTCATCGCTTTAGTCTTTAAATAGACCTGACTGACTCAAATCAGTTTCTTTAATTATTTGAATTAATATAATACCGACTACTGTGAAATTAAGTTTATTTTTGCGATTTTTTCACAAAAATCCACGTGACTATTCTGATTGAACCCTACCTGTTCATCAAATTTGATTATTGTTCGTCGAATAGCCGAGATTGTATTTTACAATATCTTATGTATTATGGAGATATTAGATTGAGATAAAAGCAAAGTTTTAAATATAACTTTACCCAGGGCCGGCACGCAAAACACGCAGCTGCGTGGGGTCCGGACGCCCGAGATATACGGCAAACTATGTTGTTGCAAGAATCTCGAAAAACGTAAATTTTCGCCAGATTTTTCCGCTTTTAAAATAACCCTTCCTTTACAATTATGTGTGGAAGTAATATTTTGCCATTATTTCTTGCGACGAATTAAATTCGAGATTCGAAATCCACGTGACGCGAGCTTTCCGCGCATTTGAATTTGTAGCTTTTTAAAAACTTGATATTGCGCTTCGACGGACGCTGGGTTATTAATTAAATAGATTGGAACTGTAGAGTTCGTATTTCACTTTTAATAATCACGGCTTTAATTAGTGAAACGTCAGTATCTGAAAACAGTTAGGTATAAATAATAGATTTTACAGCGGTTTTCTCTAAGCTCATTTATAATTTCAGGTCTGAGTTGATGCAGTTGATTATTATGAAATGATTGTAAAATTTACAGTTTCAAAATGACAAACACGCATTAAAAAAGCAATTTACGGGTAATTTATTACAGCGAATTTGATTAAATTTTTTAAACTGTCCATATTCAAGATTTACTTAATCACAAAATCTTTGTTTGTTAAAAAACTGGATTGATCTCAATGAATATGATCTATTAGAAGCTAATTTTGGAACAGTGAGTATCGATAACTTTCTGATTACTAAGAACTGCAGCTGTAAATACTACTACACTCACTTGGTTGAAAGAGAAGCTGAAAAGTCTCATGGGGACCTCAACATAAACTCATCAGGAGAGATTTGGACAAAGTTCACTATTTCAGAACCAGAACTATAAGTAAATAATATTTTTTAATTCCCGGGTGTAACCTAATAGGATCCATGCAGTGAATGTACGAAAAAGTAGGTCTTCCAAGTTCCTCTGTCTGTTGTCTGTTGTAATATCGTGTAGGTGGTAAAACGTTAACCAAATTTGTCTGATTATTTTCACCAACAATTGACGTTCCCTCAAATTTTTTTTAGTTACCGCCATTTATATTTAATAAAATAACATAGTCTCGTATCTGTGGTTTATGAATCCGCCTTGAGTTTAGACTCTAGACATCCAAATTTTTTAAGAAAAAAAATTTTTTTTCTTAAATTATGACCCTTATTGTCTATATATATATATTTAATTTATGGAGGTGATCACAAACAAAATACAATTTTATAATTTTTAAAGAAGCGGAATTTATTAAAGTGTACTTCAGGGACAAGAGAAATTGTTTCTAAATATCCTTGGACCAATTTTTATTGAATTAGAATGTGAAATAATTTGTATCGAGTTGCTTGGTTTCTCAGTGTTAATCTTTAGATGTTTTTTTTATTAGATATACATTTTTTTACATAACTAATCCGTACCCAGTTTGCCCTTCAGCGTCTGGGGGAGTTACACAAGCCTAGGTGGTCACCCATCCAAATCTTGACTCTGGATAGTTTCTTAAATTTTGCAAATTTATTTTTTTTAACCTCCAAATGTTCGTTTAAAAATAGGGATGAATTATTAAACCATAGGTAAATGGGCATATTATTCAGTATGTTCAAGTGAAATTTTTGAAGCAAAATTTTGTGATTACGTCATCAATTTTTCGCCGGGATGCTTCGATTTATCTTCATGACAATATTTTGCATTAAAATGTAACCAGATTTTTTTCCCCAAGCGTGAACTAAGGAAGTATTTTAGTAGAGTCCAACCGAAGAATGGCTACTTCAGTGTTTTCTGGACGTTTAATGACCCCTAGAGTACGAAACAATAGGGCTTCCGTTTCCATCTATTTATCTGGCGTCTGTCCGCCATCTGTCGTCTGTGGCAAATTTTATGTGTGTAAAACACTAACTAAAATTTGTCTAATCGTCCCCTAGAACATTTTGATGACTTCACCTCAAAATTTTCATAATAAATACCAGTTAAATTATACAAAATAAAATACTGGTATACTTGTGGTTTATAAATCCACCTTGAGTTTTTCCCTAGTCGTCCATATTTCGTTTCGCAAAAAATCCAAATTGAATAACAACCTCTTATACCATATGATCTTTAAAAAAAATCCTCTAGAAGACTATGAAATTTATTTTTTTAATAACAAAGTGTTTCTAGTCCTGCTCGCAGCGCAAAGGTCATAGGTTCGATTAAACAATACAAAATATAAATCAGATGTGTTTTCTTTAATTTTTCAGCAGTTCCACTCTTCAACGGATGTGTTATGAAAATGTGCTTCAAGAAATTTTTGGATTTTTTGGAGAGAATTGTAACAGTATCAAATATATTTTTACTTCCTGAGCATAAGTTACTTTTTTATTTTCTCGACGTATGTTTTATTCCACGGATAAAATCCTAAACTACTGGACCGATCGTTGTCATATTTTATAAAATATTAAGAATATTGTGTAGACGGTAAAAAATCTCCAAAATTTATATTAATAAATATTATTTAAACATTTTGCAATATAATATTGAGACTACAAAGCCGAATACTCTGAAATGTTTTAAGGTTGTCGGAAGCATGGTAAATTCTAGGTAGATTAGATCACAAAAATTGTCATTATTTTTACTTTATAGACGTTCTCACAAAATAATCGCAAAATTAAATTTGATAATCGGTTTGAAACTTTTTTTTTAAATCATACAATCTGCCATATTTCAGACGATTCTGGAAAAATGGTAGGAATTTTCAAAGACATGGAGCCGAAAATAACTTCTATGGGTTGAAATCTACCAATAATACAATCTACAATAAATATCTTTAGCTAATTTTCGAGGGTGGTTGAAAAATTATCCAAAAGATGATAGGATTTTTCGAAGAAATGAAGCGTAAAACAACTTCTAGAAATTGAAATTTACCAAAAATATTTTATTTTCGAGGTAGTGGAAAAAACAACTTATAAATAGAATTTGAGACACTAGGGAATCATTAGTGGTGCTTGGTTTTTCTAAACCCATGTTATAAATATTAGATTTTGTTCGGTAGCTGTTGAATTTCATTGAACATTTATTACATTTGAGATTGGAAAATTTTAAATTTCCGAAATACAGTGTGAACTCACCAAATTAATTTCATTTTCTTGAAGGCAACTAAGTTTGTCTTCGAAACAATTTTATACTTCATCAAGTATTACCTATATTTATTAATGTAAACGGAAAGCTAATTAGATTAATTCTTAAACAGGAATTCGAAATTTATAAATAAATTTTACTAAAACTGGTATACATTATCGCTGAATTTTTACGAAGTAGATATCAAGTTTTCTAAATTTGACCGCACACTTAGTATGTTAAGATGTTGTTTTTTTCCATTCAATTATCATGATATTTCTGCACTTGTGTTATTTATTGTGTATTATATTGATTAGCAATTTTATAAAAAATAAATTACATACATTTTAACCATTATTCATCAATAATCGCTCATTATTAAAAAAAAATAGTTCTTTGAAGATAACAACACGAGTAATACTAGTTTGATAGGTGGAAGGTCGAGGAAAGCAGGACTGTGGTGTTCATATAATCGATTGCGTGGCATGTACCAGAGGCATTTTATTCAAACATATTGTGTAGCGCATTAATTTCGGAAATTTATTCGCAAAAATTTGTTCTCTCCAAATGTTGTAACGGTACATAATGTGCAACAACTTTTAAATGACTTTCAAATGATCGCCTGTTGAGAATATCTACTGCCTTGAGATATCTTACATTGATTTATTGCAGTATATGCCCATTATCACCATGCTGAGCTCTTCGACGCCCCCGGTAACCTGAAAATCGACTAGCATCAAAATTAAATAACAAATTTGCCCACTTTTCGCCCAAGGCCACCACGCATGATTTTCATTTCGCATTCCGTGAGGACGAAGAGATTGAAAACATTTTTACTAGCTTGCAATCTGCCTTCGCGCTGTACTTTTTAAAATTTCACCTTCCTTTGATTAATTTCCTGAAGCAAGTGTGTGAACGATTTCGCCTGCTCCTAGATTCGTTAATTCTCGTACAGTCAGCACTTTCGTGTTCCATCCCCTTTTATTAATTTCCCGTGAATAATTCCGGAACATCAAATAAGTGTTATGTGAACGCGATACCGTTACCCTGTTTATGAGGATTTTATAACGTATTTCGTTGGGAAAACTGTACCATTTCCATAAGTGTAGCATTCGGAAGCTTCGCGAACTCATAAAATATTTTGTCGATTTTAGAATTCTTCATCTTTACCGTGGGCGACGGACCGATCGGATGCTCTCCGCGAGGGTGCTTTATCGCCGCCCCCGGCTAAAAGGGCCAGGAGTACGGAACGAGGGACATTCACGCCAGACAGGGGAAGGAGTCCCTCTAGGGGCAACGGCGACATGCAAGAGTCCCTGCTTGGACAGGCCTTGGAAGGCGGACCCACGATACTCACTAAAGAGGTGAGTGCTTGTTAATGACCGTTTTGGGGCTAAGTAGATAGCACTTTTGTATCGGTAATGAGGTCTGAAATATTGCTGCTGGGTTGCTCGGATTTGTTTTATTGTGGTTCTGGACAGAGCGAGCCTTTCGCACGACACGTATCTTGTAACGTTGAGGTTTTAAAGACGAGGAGATCTAGGATAAATTGTAATCGTAAAAATGGAGTAGTTAGGGAATTTATTCCATCGTGTTTGTAGATGATGTAAGGGTCGATATAAAGAGGGGGTTTATTTTATTTTTCAAATATTGGGGTCTCTCTAAGTACAGCAACAAAATTGTCAAAATTAAAGAATTCGCTTACTTAGAGTAAAAGAAGTTGAATATACGAAGTCAAGCGCAGAGTTCATAAATCTTTGAATACTAGAAAGGGTGAAAACAACCCTCTGGAACAACTTCCAAGGTTCATTTTTCGTTGCCCCAATAAGTTGCGATCACAGCACCAAATGTCAAAAACTTTTTTAAATGGAAGTATATTTTTGTCTTTGCCTCGTGGCTTGGATTTCAAAATTTACAAGAATAATGCTGTTTATGGAAATTTAAAAAAATAATTTATTAAGAAAGGTTTCGGAATTAGTGAAATCCAAAATTCAGCAAAAAGTAGGAAATAAGAGAGTCGTTATATCGTATATAATTTAGGTTGTATAATTAATTTTAAATTACAAAGTTTGTCAGAAAATAACTTGTTTTATATGTATATATTAAGTAAATGGTAAAACACTAACTAGTATTTGTCTATTCATCCCCACCAACAATTTAATGGTGTTAGCTCAACATTTTGTGCAGTAATTTTATAAAATAATGTACCCCTATACTTGTTGTTCATGAATCCACTTTGTTTTTTATTTAATATTATTATTTTATTTGTTAAATTTTTAAATACATAAAACGAAATTCGACAATTTAACAAAATTTGTAACAAAAAAATATAATGTTTACAAAATTGCATCTGTTCTGAAATAAATTAATAATCAGTACCCGCTTAATATTACCTCCCAGTAATTTCTTTTGAATTGATGTAATTACTTTAAATGTGCTAAAATTCCTTGGTTAACTGGAATTCCATTTGTAACTAGAATTACCAACACATTGTGAAAATTTATTGGAATTGGTTGTACCTAAATGGAATTGTTGGAATTTGAATTATGCTGGATCAGGTAATTTTGTAAAAAAACAGAAAGTTAGACATTTAACAATTAACTTTTTTATACAAAAAATGCTCAACTGTGCGCGACCGTAATTAAATGATATATTCCGAAAAGCAGTTTTTGCACTAGATAAATATTTACAAATCAATAATTGAATTGTTAAAAAAGAATGACATCACCCTTTGATGGATGGTTTTAGTAACAGACTATTCCAAGAAAAAATGTATGGTTTCATTTAAAAATTGAGTTGATCTACGTAATTAAAAAAAAACTTCCAGAGCTAAGCTAAGGAAGTATTGTAATAGGGTCCATTGGGCTACTGGTACTTTTATGTTTTCTCGACGTTTTATGACCCCTAGAGTACGAAGAAATAGATCTCCAGTTTCTGTCTGTTTCTCGTCTGTCTGTGTTGACTTTTATTAAATTTCCGAAACTACAGAACTGATGGTGGTAAACTCGGTGATCAAATTGATCAAATCAAAACCAATTTACCACATTCCCTCGAAAATTTGAAAAGAATATAGTACTGTTGCGCCAGTCTATAGCAAATAGTAATAAAATAAGTATTATCGTAATGACAGCTAGGGCCTACTTATCTAAAATAATATTCGGAACATTTTGCTCCATCGTAGCTTAATCAATAAATAATATTAGTCGCTTCCTTTGTTTTGAGGAGACAAAATCATTCAAATCAGACGGTTTGCTACCTGCCTAATCGTCGCATTCTTTCGACGGATAAACATTAATAATCGAAGTTAAGCATGCACTGATAATATTTTTTCTGTTGGTTATCTGCTTGAAATACAAAGTGATTCATTATTAACTCTATGACAAATTGTTAAGAACTATTTATTGAGCAAAGATCTTTTAGGTATAAAAGAGTTAACCCCGCCCACCCACCCCTTCTCCATTTCAGTGAACCAATTACTTTGATCTAAAATTAAACAGTTTTTTTTTGTCAACAACTAAAACCTCGGGTAATTCATTTCTTCTCCTCATTGTTGCGCTTCCGAGATGAAGGAAGTTTGAAGTTTGCGTAGATAAGATTAAATGTCATCTGCATCCTATCTGCAGTAGTTTCCTTTTTGGGAAACAGACTCGTAAATTTTTCGAAATTTTCTTCTCGAAATTTTCTCCAAATTCTTTAAAAAATCAAAATACGTTCTTAAAGAAAGCCAGTAGGGGACCGAAATTCTTTATCATTGTAAAAAATATATATAAAAAAAAATTCTGAGGTTTTAACTCATTTTGTCATAATTTTTTAACTGAAAGAAAACACCAAAGTTTCAAAAATATACATTATCTAAATGCATTCCATTCAAATTTCATTTTTTTTTGCCAACTAAATTTCAAATTTAGGACGTTTGAACAACTTTTTCAATGGATGGATAGCATTATTATTGGCATTTTAAGATTTATTTCAGTTTGAGGACTTCAAAGAATAAAAAAAAAACGGTATACCTACCTTCATGAAATTGTCAAAATTTCTATAATTTTTGAAATTTTGGAAAATGTCTGATTCTCCTATTTTTAGAAATTATCTTTCTGCAGGGTGTATTAGTTTTGCTTCACAGGCAACTTCGACCTTACTAATTTTGAAGATTAAAATAATTAGCCCCACCCACCCACCTCTTCTCTATTTCAGTGAACCAGTTACTTTGATCTAAAATTAAACAAAGTTTTCACATTGCCAAAAACTAAAACCTCGGGTAATTAAGATATTAAAATTAATTTCTGTTGAGTTGTAAATTTTTCAAAAATTTTCTGCCGAAATTCTCTCCAAATTCTTTGAAAAACAAAATACATTCTTAAAAAATAAAAATAAAATGAAACAATTTTTGGTACAGCTTCATGTGATTTTGAAAATTGTTGCAATTTTTGCAGTTTTGAAAAATATTTTATTTAGTTCGTCAAATAGCCGCAAGGTCATTTTTTCATCGTAATCAAAAATCACTGTTTGTGTTGGCAATAGATTTAACCAATTCAGAGAAAATATTCGTGCCGAGTCTGATTTAAGTTCTTGTAAATCACTTTTATGTTATCAAGAAAGTTTGGTAATGACATTTTAATACGATTATTAACAAATTTTTGTGTAAATTAAATGTCATTGGCAACTGTGACAATTTTGACAACAGAGATATCGAAATAATTTTAGACCAAATTTTTTTATTGTGATGTGGTTTGGCCTATTGTCAATCAAGATTTTAAAATGATGTAAAAGTTTCCTTTTATGTTTTAAATAGTGCTTCCAAAGTGTTAGGAGAATTGAAGTTGTAGTGAGAAGATGTCAATTTTTTCGACGAAACACATTGACTGTATAGTGTCGCTTTTGTATACAGCGGTTTTTCAGTTTCAGATTTCAAAACGAAATATGTGATGCATTTGTTTTAAGAAATACAGACAAGAAAATTACTTGCAGATTTATACAATTTTGGAGTTATTCAGACGGCATAAAATACCTTCTTTTACAAATAAGATACTTTTGGACTGTTTAAATTACTAGCAATGCTTAGATTGAATGAAAATCCGAAGTTCCGCAGTTGTTTATATTAAAATAAAATTTATTGCATCATTCAAACTCTTTCTGTCAACAGTAGGGTACATAACACCGTATGTTCCGTAAAATATTTACTTCATCAAGATTCACTCAAAACCTATAACATTTTGTGTTGGTTTAATTTAACTGAAAATGATCTTGTTTTTCTCATTCTGTTTTTCTCTATTTGATATTAATAAGAAATGTTTGTGTTTATTCGTTATTAGGTCAGGTCGGGTCAAATTTTTTACCATGAAACTGTCACTTTAAACTTTATAAATTTTAAAAACACAAAAATACTGGGCACCCACATGATCCAAAGGAGTAGATTTTTGAGCTTTTGACAAATACGCGTTGGCTTTCAATTAAAAAAAGAGGATTTCCCTCTTTTAGCTCTCATTTCGTTAAGCTCCAAGCTTCCAATTTTCGACTGAGAGACGCAATTAAGAAGCGCATTTTTGCTAATATCTGAATTCTGTTAATTGTTTCCGCAGTAGTACCAACAACGAACATCATTAAGGGAAGTTATTTTTATGTTTAATTTAGTTAATGATAATATCCTATCATTACAGTGCCTTTCTATCGAACCTGACCCGTTTGCCGAACTAAACTTTCTAATATTCTATTATTCCAGCAATTATCTTAATGTATAGTTAACATCTCTTGTTTTGGTGGTATTAGTAACTGACAATGGTTATTCGAGCAACCAAAAATCCGTGCTACTACTAGTGTTTTGAGTGAATGACTGACTGTTTTGAAATGACACTTCGGGCGTCTCTCATCTGCCTTTATTTTTAGTCCATTGACTCCATGGCATATTTCTTTCGCAGAAGGGCAATTCGGATTCGTCGCTGCAAGCGCAATCGACTGGCGAAGACAGCAACAGCAGTGACACGGCGATGAGCGATCACGGAGACCCTGTAACCCCAAAGACTGAACCTTCCGATTACCCCATGTTAGACGATCATCATCCTTTTAATACAAACGGCGGGCTAATTGATCAGACGCGGACTCCGACATTTCCAGGCGCGCTGTTGGGTCTACAAGGTAAGATTACAACCCCTCTAAGTATAATTTATTTTATAATTGCCTGTGTGGATTCGGAGGATTAGACGCAGACTAAATATAATTAGAAGTAAATATTTGAGCCCCGGGCTAATTACCACGCCGAAGTTTCGACAATATTCCAAACCAGGCAATTATGTCGATTATGACCGATCGTAACGACAACCGAAAAATGATTCGTAATGCTCTAGAGCTTGCGGCGATTCAATCAGCCATTGATAATCTCCAGAAGTGTTCCACGCACTCCCCGCGTCCCACGACCGTTATTATTGGCTAATAATTCAAGAAATTAAAATGCCTTATCTGCCAATCCTCGCCGTTTATTACCGATTCTTGCCTAGATCGTATCCGGAAAACAGCGATAACATTGTCTAATGCTTCTCGTTTAAATTGGTAATTCTTTCTTTCGTTGTTGTGACCCCGGATGACCTATCAAACTCGAACATGTCGAATACTTGTTGTAATAAATTTATCAAATTCCAACTGTTCATTACAAATGGTTTAAGCCCCGTAATTTATGTAAATGGGTAAATGATGGTATTAATGTCAGGCTTTTTCATTCAAAATCTTCCACCGGTGATTGATGTATCTGAACGGATTCGACTGGAGAAATGAAACAAAGCACAACTTGATTTTTTAACATCTCTGTTGGAATTCGGGGGACTGTGTAGGTGTGCGCAACATACCATTTTCAAATACATTCTTTCTGACTCTGTTATTAAGGAAAAAAACACAACTTAAGAAGCGAAGCTAATTTCGTTTTGGATGACCTCACAAGGTACATACACACGACCCCATCAGCTTTCAAAATCAATTAGAACGATTTAATAGATTTCTGGATACATAAATCATTTCGTCAAATACGTTGCTGATTTCATTGCAAAAGTAATTTTGCTAGATCGATTACAAGGTAAATTTCCTACGACGGAAGAGATTGCATTATCAAAGGATATGCTACAATGTTACCAGAGTGATAACCACACTAATTACGTAGCTTGGAAAGTACAATTCCTTATTTTTATGTAAACGACACTGCAATGGGTGCACCTTTTCGTTTTTATCAAATTTTTCCGCAGTGATAAAGACGAACCTTAAAATATGACTGTATGTAGTGGTGGTGATTCATCAGAACAAGGAAAAACAAGAAGAAATATCTTCAAGTAATTTTTTATTCGATCGAACTTTGAAAAAAAATAAATAAATACACAAATTTATCAATCGACTGTACATAGTAGCTTTCAGTATGTTAGATTATATAAATACAGGATGTCCCACTTTGGAAATGCAAGCTTAATGTGATACATATGAGCTTTCAAGCTGACTGTAGGTTCACGTTTGCTGGATTACGCCCAGGAACTCGTTTTTGGCACAAACAAAAATCTTCTATAGAAGACAGTATTTTATAAGAACTCAACTAGCTTTTACTCATTTTGAACGGGTCATAATTTTAAGAGCGGAATTTTCAATAGTTCCAAGTTATTTAAGGCTAGAGATATCACGAATACAAAAAAAGAAATATTCAAAAAATCAAAATTTAAACACAGTCAACAGTGATTTTGATACCTCTGAACAATGAACTGAAACCATGAGTATGAACCACTTGACCACTACACACAACATTTCAAAGTGAGTTAAAATTTGAAACAATTACTTTCCTGAGTTCACCGTAGTTTTCGGGTATTGTGGTAAAAAAGTCAGGACACTTTCATAGTAAGGCTAGGAGTACAGGGATAAAAATGTCAGCAGATGCTTTTGTGGTATTAACCCTTCAAATTTTATGCAAATCTTTTTGACCGCTGCGCGCAACTGTCCCTGAAATCTCGGGTAGTTTTTGCGCAACTGTCCAGTGGGTTTAGAACCACTCGCAGATTTTTCAGACCGGGGGGCGCAATTGACCCATGTCCTAGCTTTCAATTCTATGCACAAATCAGCCGGAAGTATCAGGGTATCACGCAATTACGTTGACGAAATTCGACAAAAATCCACACGGGAGTACAACAAGTACACTCAGAACGTTATTCTTGTGTCCACTAAAGTTTTATGACGTGATTATGAGGGGTTGAACGCCAGAGTGGCAGGGTTGATGACGCCGATTAGCCTTCGGTGAAAATATAGGGGTTATAATTGAGAGAATTGGGACCCACAGAGAAGAAATTATGTAACGTTATTTTGTTCATTACACTTTATTCCTTTTTTAATACACATATGTGTTAGTGTTAAAATTTTAAATGATTGACGGCACACTGAAATTTTGAAAGTACGTCCCTGACACGGGAGTTTACCTGCTACTGGTGCGATGTTATTAAAATTTTAGTGAATTCAAAAATAACGTCGTAAGAATACGTTCGACCTTTCGTCAAAATTGATATGTATGTTTAAAAATTCAGCATCCAATAAATTTACAGAGGTGTATTGGCTCAATAACAATCCAACAGTCTGAAGGTACACTTCATCTTCATCACAACTTTTTTTATTAATTATTATTATTACTGCAACTACTATATCAGTTTGCGATTTTAAACCTAAACAAAATTACCAACATCCAAATTTAAAAAATTCCTACATTTTTTTTTTGTCTAATTAGATCGCTTCGACTGAAAATCAGCTCGGCCGGCGCTAAATTTAAGTTCTGGTTTCATTAAAAAAACGCAGGTTCGAATCCTGCACCTGACACTAATGTTGATGAGTTTTCCTCATGTGTGTTACGTCGGGATTAAACCGAAATAAATTAATAATAAAATCAACTTATCAACATTCAAGATTCGAAATACCTAAAGCACACCATCTGCTGCCAAAATGCCGCAACCAGCTACACGAGCAAACGCTGCAACCAACGGCGCAAAGTCCACCAGGTCACGTGGGCTATGACGTCAGACCTGTTCGTACACTACTATTATCCATTTACGATCTTTTCGACGAAGATGGCCGAAGTTTGTAGTCTGTACAGAACAATTGAAATTCCCTAATTTTTCTTGTTAGATTCGTTGTTTTCAATGTAAGGTTACTAAATGTGTCAAAAACAAACATTTTTGATAGTATTTTCAGCTGCATTCCTCACGATTTTGCAAGAAACATTTTTTTATTACAATTTTTTGTTGTAGGACAATTTTTAGCTTGTTTACTTGGTTAGAAAATCTATCCGACTAATGAAGTAAGAAAATTGCCAAAGCAGCTCGAAGTAAATGTCGGGATAATTATGTCAGGTTACTGGCGGACAAAAAACTATACCAACAAATCAGTTTGTGCAACATGAAGAAGAAACCTCAGTCCCTACCCTACGTCGAAAAGATGGGGAATGGATAATACGCCAACCTAATATACCTGAGTTCAAAAGAATACTTGGTGTTTGATTTTTGTTCATATTAATTCTCAAAATCTGTTATATTTTCCAAAGAACAGAAACAAAATTAGCCATTCGACTCAATTTTACTCAAAGTGGAATGCTTTTTACTTATTTATATTTGTTAATTAGTACAAGGAGAGATCGTAAAATAGGAGTCTTTTAATTTTGGCAGCATTCTTTACCTATTTAAATACAACGTGTCGGACGAAGACAGAAACAGAACCATACCGGACGTTGCAATTGGTGCAGTTTTACAACACCTTGCCAAAATTACAACAACTCTACTGTATGTTAACATTCTCATCCCAGTACACAAAAATGCAAATAAATATGATGAGTAAAACAACCACAAAAGCCTCCTTTAACACCCCAACCGTCAACCCGTTAATTTGCAATTTTAAACTTTCGCGATATCAAAACACGTGTATTGTTGCATATTGTATCGTTTCATGCAAATTTTATTATATTCTCAGCAATCATTCGAGTCTTTATTGGTAGTCGACAAACGTCTTGTGTTGAATAAGAGTGGGCGTGAGATAAATTTGTGAAATTTGGAGCTTATTGCGAATGTTGATGGGTTTTATATTCTGCAAGTATTTGACAAGTTGATTAAATATCAAGTTATTTCGTTTGTAGAGTAAGCGACTTCTTATACAGAGTGTCCCATCACTTCGCTTTTTTAAATGTACATAAATTAGACAATTTTATTTCATTGCGACCCCCTGTATTGTCATTAGAAACTGCAGCCAATGTTGCCGCCAACTACAGCACAATGATTGTAGTAATATATTGCTTTCCGTCAAATGATGCGATTGAAGAAGACCCGATTTCCAAATTCGTATTTAAATAAAAATTTCTGAAATGGGTTAAAAGTATTTTGGGGGCGCAATATCGTAAACCTTTATGGCTCAATTTTGTTACCATCAGGAAATCGATAATGTAGAGTTTACCATACCTGGTAAAAATTTGAAGTAGCATGTCTGTTGTGGTAGTGGAAATAGTGTTTCTGGGAACGAGTAGGAGGTGAAACGAATCCGAATAGAAGCAGTAAATCATCTATTGCGATGGTTTTCTCGGAGTGTATCGAAGCGTCGATTTTGCGAAATATCACGTATGCCCATACGAATTTTTCCACCGAATGAAATTCGGCAATGAGACATGTGCGAAAATAATTTCGCGTGCCGAAAACCACCCCAGTTTCGTTTAAAGCTTTTTTCCTATAGTAGATGATTCTCGTACGCGCGATATTACAGAAAGCGACCATCAAAGGTATTTCCTAAGGCACGTGAAAACGCAATCTTTTAAAGCCACTTTTTATGGGAGCACAATATTAATGTTTATTTTTAACCTTTAGGATTAGGAGGACTCATGCCCGGTCCTTCGGGGATCCACAACAGTACGGATAATTTCGGTAAGCAGTTTCTTGTATTTATTTATTTAAGTAGTTTAACAAATCGAAGTCAAACATATTAAATAGTCGGGTAAGAAACGTGGAAGTTGTCTCGGGAGGGAAATGTAGTTAATATTTAAGTTAGTGAGGGCTGGCCAAATGGAAGGAAAATCAAGAAGTGACATCTGCCAGAGGACATCCACGCCGGAACGCTAAAGTTCTTATATTAAATATTTTATTCTTATCCCGGCCGTCAGTGCAGTTTTGACAAGACTCGTGCAATATGTCAGATGACCTGACAGTGACCAGTGAGGGTATAAGGAAAACTAATGAAAAATGAAAGTGACTGGTGGATTGTGGAAAAGGCAAGGAACCGAAGCGGAGATGGAATTTGGTCGATTAGTCGTGACCTGAGCGATGGAGAGGAAAAATTAAATTTCCATGCGGGCTAACTCGGTCAAGATTTAAAACAGCCGACAAAGTTTAAACAAATTTCGCCCGATGAGTGGCGTTGTTCTTCTTCGCAAAGTGTATTAGACGGAGCGACCCTTTTTTAATTAGGTAAATTTACACTCAAAAAGACTTTTCCGATAAAATGGTTTAAGGATTAAAAGAAAATACGCTCCGATAAGCAGCTTAACGCACGGTCTCGCCGTTATCCATTTTCCGGGGACACACCGCGAAACCTCTCCTTCTACTTTAAAAGAGTTTCCTCGTATTGTTTGCCTGTACCCGGCCATCGATTTCTTGGAGCGCTAACCCCAAGTCCACATAATGGGAAATGAAGCTAGTGAACTCCTCATAAACATTCGACCAAATAGACAATTTTGACAGAGGGGCCCTCAGTTGCTAGGGTTACTCATAAAATTACGCACGCCCATTCCCGGAAACTACCTATTATAATTGAATTTCTTGTAGCTTCCTCCGGTGTATTAAAATTGTTTCCTCCAACCCCAGCCTTTAATTGCGTTTCACTGTAAAAAAGTTCCAGCGACACCCGAAAGCACTCCAATTAAATTTGTATGAGCGCCGGAGTGAGGGGGCCTTCTGTAGGTGTCGCTTCTGCCTCCGGACCACCACCTTCTCGGTCCGGCCTGGACAAAAGAGGAGAGACATACGAACGGACCGTATAAATCAATAGACCAATGCCGGGAACGGGGGAGTACATCCACAGCAATCTCGATGTTTGACTGTGTGCTTGCTATCTGCCTCCCCTCGACCTTCTGCCCCTCAAGAGCAGTTCGATCAATTGCAGAAGCGGCTCGTTAAGATTGTTTACGCGCTACAGACATCGACGAAAATGAAATTACTTGCATCGTCGTACAGCCGGAATATAGAAAACTCATCGAACGCCCATATCTCGTACCCAGGAACATGCAACGACGTCGGAAAGAAAAATACATGACCCAGAAACGAACAAAACAACCTTACGTTAACACCACCGCAATCTCCTCAAAGTACATTAATTAAATCGTCGTCCAAAAATGAGGTGTCAATCCTTATCAAAATTATTCATGAAATTACCATTTCGATCAAAATTTTGAAACGTTCGTGAGTTAGATTTTTATAATTCTGTGGTTTGAACAAGACTTTTCGCCAAGATTAACAATGAGCGGATCGAGAACACTGTAGATACAACAAAAATAGAGTTCATTTTTTGTTCCATGAAAAACCATTGGCGAAAAATTGGAAGAGCATGTTTATTTTCGTAGGCGAAACCAATAAAGATTTTGTATTGACTTTATTGACAACGCTACGTTATTAAGTGTGCTTTATTTTCAAACGGTATTTCGTTCTGAAAGAATAAAAGAAAAATACTTGGTGTGCCTTGTGCGAATTATTGAGTGAAAATCGAAAACTGAATAATTAACAGTTATCAAAAATAACTCTCATGTCGATTTTTTTTGTTTTAATTTTTTAGTGATGACCTTTTGCTCGTAGCAACACTAAAATAGCATATTTTACAGCAAGAGATGAAAGTACCGTCTTTTTTTCGCGAATTTATTTTACGAGCTGCATTAGCGGTGAGTAAAGTGATGTTTCACTTCAAGTCGTAAATAGTGTTTTTTTCTACGATTTTAACATTGATATCTGACTATTTGCATTTTTTAAATTCGCCGAAAGTGAGTTTATTGGTTAAAATTTTTGCTAAATTCAAAGCAGATTCTGTTTTGCAGACTATAAGTTATTTATTATTATTATCATTTTTAAATAGAGGTGATTTTATCATCATTGAATTTTGCAGATTTTTACGGTTAAGTTATTAAATACATATTATTTAACCTTTGAAAAAGAGTGGATATGAAAGAAAGCTTCGAAATATACGCCGAGACGAGACTTAATTTTTTCTAGGAATAATGTAAATTTGCTAATAAACAACTGTAGAAACCAGTAACCATACAAATAATTACATAAATCTGTGCTTGGAACATCAAAATATTCTTCTGAGAAATAATTTGGATAAACAATGGGTGTAAACCACTTAAGTATTCCTCCCTGCAGTTTAACAAGTCTTATTGTAGATGAGTGGGTTGTAGAGGATTTTTTCGAGTGTAAATTGGATGATAAGCTCTTCCTAAAAACATTTTGTTTTGATGTGATTACCAATTTTGTGATCTTTGTGTGGAGTCCGTGATTATTTTACTTATTACTTAATAAGAATGCTTAGAGAACGGCTAGAAATAAACGAAAATGATTGCAACGTTCGGTAGGATAAGTGTCCGTCAAAACGACTATGTTTGCTCCGTTTCCAGGGTCGGATTAGATCGCTCGGCCCATCAAAACAGGATTCGTGTAACATAATTTTGCTTTAAATATGGTGCCTTAACAACTACACAATTTTCGAGTCCGGCACTGATATATCCACAGGGAAAGAAGCTTATCGATATAGAAACTGTTATATACAGGCAAAGTTAACATAAGTATAAAATAATAAAAGTAAGAATTTTTATCAGAAGAAAAAAGTTGCTTATTTAACGTAAATTTCAAAAATATAAAAAATGCTGCATTTACTGATTTTCAACACGCACCAGAAAATTGGAGAAACCCTAAAAATAGATTGCCATTTTTTGGTTGCCCCAATTTTTGTCAATCTGCGAAAAATACAGCTACAATTTCAAAGAGAAAAATAAAAATGTCGAGTTGTCTAATATCTCGAATTAACTGTGTTCTACCTCTCTGTAGAATCTTTTGATATTAGACAAGTAATGAGAATTTTTTTGCACTTATAGGAGCCCAGAAAATATTTCCTTACAATCTAGCTATATTTCTATAATAATTACGTTATCAATATATTTTTGCGTCATTTAAAACCGAATTGTATAAAATCAGTTTGAACTCGGCCGAGAGCTCGTACAATCGTTCAAAAAAATTTCTTCCTCTTATTCTAGAGTGGCATTTTACTCATAAATTACACAAATAACCAAGTATTCTATCTTTTAATTTAGAATTGAATCTCAGTATATTAAAAATTACATTCCAATTAAATTATTTCCAACTATACAGAGTGTTCTGTTTTTGAAACATAGTACACAACTTGGTATTTTTAAATAGAACACCATATATATGCAATCCTTCCTAGGCTTTAAAACCACCACACTTTGTGTTTGCAATCCTGATGCGACGTTGTCACGTTATTCCAATTACTTTAATTTTTTAGGCAATAAGTATTTCACAAAAAAAAATCTGCGTTATAATATTTTATAGAGAGATTTGCATTCTTGTGGTATGAATTGAAGTGGTAAAATACAGGGTGTTGTATTTGAAAAAGTGCAATATCGATATTTCAAAAGTGTAATGTTTTAGAATTTTTAGAAAACACTGGATGTATTAAAATTTAATTTAATTGATACCACAAACTATTATTTCTATTTATCTCCCTCTAAAATATTGTCTTACAGATTTTAAAAGTAATCCGATTGCGATTTTTTGTTATAGTTTCGCCAGTTCTAATTCGGTTTTCTGATGTGTAAAAGTTAACATTCTTAACAATAGGTTACTACTGCCGGTAATGGGATGGTCATAAATAAGGATTTAACCATTCTACTGTATAATGGTAACGGCATGGTTAAATCCTTATTTATGACTGTCCCATCACCGGCAGTAGTAATCTATTGTTAAGCAAGTTAACTTTTACACAAATTAAAACTGGAGAAACTATAACTCCTCGATTGCTAAAAAATGTTACGAAAATTTGAATAACGCGGCAACATTGCATCAGAATTTCAAAAGTAAAGAACAGTTATATAGCCTACAATAAAGTCAATCAAAGTATGTAAAAATATACAGAAAACCAGAACACTCTTTATAGTTGAAAATATAATTAATCAGATATATAGCATTACATAAAGTTACAACTCAATTTTTAGTATGTTTTTTCCATGACATAAATTGACTTTTATCGTTGTGAACTGACATTTTATTGATCATGAAAACCGAAAAAAAATCAAAACTGACTTTTGAAAAACTAAAAAAAAAATATAGTTTCAATTTTTTATGAGCATACAGGGTGATTCAGAGACTATTATTTAATTTTAATGGAAAATTATATGTCAAAAATAAGTAAAAAGTTCTAGCAAACATATGTCATTTCTTAGAAGTAGAGAAGTTAAGTTAAATTTGCTGTTATCGAAATTACTTTTCACTATCGTTAATTTATCAGCAAAACTATTCTTGAACACCTTAAAAATTTGATTGTTGCCTTGGAAATGCCACTATTACCTACGTATTTCTTTGGTAACGTAAAAATTGAACGAACTGTGACCAAGGTGTTAAAGTAAGAATTGTATCCTAATAATTAACTCCGGTGGAAAGTAATTTTGATCAATTACGAAATGTTAATATTTTCTTATAGTCATAGTTTAAAAAAATTGACCATGCATTATTTACTTATTTTTGCCATATAATTCACCATTAAAATTATGCAGTAGCGTTCTGAGTCACCCTGTATAATATGTAAACAGATTTTTTTCGTTTATTCAGTTTAATGTAAAATCATTGTCAGTTGTCGAATACTAAAAATT